CTCTGCTCCCGCTCCGCGCTCCGGCCTGCGCTCTCTCTCTCTGCTCCGGCTCCGGACTCCGGCCCACGCTCTCTCTGCTCCTGCTCCAGGCTCTGGCCTGCGCTTGCTCTGCTCCGGGCTCTGGGCCCCAGGCCCCGTCCTGCGACTCGCTACCTCGGGAAGGTACATGTCTAATACACGGACTGTTTTAAACTGTGGGTTTCACACAGACAGCTGGTAATTGCCCACACGGTGCATCCTAAAAATCAAAATCAAGGCAGCCTCTGTGGGAACCAGACAAATAATATCCTGTACATATTCTTCCCTAACCAACCTCTATCAAGGATGTTATGCCACACCTCTAGAACAGATGGGATTTGAACCTGTGCCTCCTATCTCAGAGGCAGGGACACTACCATTGCACCAAGCAAGTCCCTAAGCTCCCTGCTTTATAAATCTTACAGCAAATACCAAGTCCTCAATGTCATTCCCTCAGATGCCACTTACTGATTGAGTGGTTCCAGATTTGTTACATAATTAACGAAGGAGAGAGTTACCTCACAGCAGCTATTGCAGAAATGGGTCTGGTCAAAAGGCAGTCTGACTTGATTATTTCTGCAGGTAGTTTTCTGACCAATTTACAGAGATGTTGCAATGCACTGCTGCAGAAGGATGATGGCAGGGGGATCACATTGAAACTTACAGAAAACTGGGTGGCCGAGAGAGAGTGGATGTGGAGAAGGTGTTTCCACAAGAAGGAGAGACAAGGACCTGAGGACACAGCCTCAGGGTGAAGGGATGGCCCTATAGAACTGAGATGAGGAGGAATTTCTTCAGCCAGAGGCTGGTTAATCTGGGGAACTCATTGCCACAGAAGATTGTGGAAAGGCCAAGTCATGGAGTGTATTTAAGACAGAGATGGATAGATTTTTGATGAGTAGGGGATCAAGAGTCACGGGGAGAAGGCGAGAGAATGAGGTTGAGAAACACATCAGCCATGATCGATTGGTGGAGCAGACTTGATGGGCTTAATTTTGATCCTATGTATCTTATGGGACATGAACCTGGGCCTTCTGTCTCAGAGGCGGGGACACTACCACTTCACCACAAGTGCTCCTAAGCTAACTGCTTTATAGAAGTTGTAGCAAAACTTATCAAGGTTTATAAAATCACCAGGGGCAAAGATCAGACGAATGACAAGGGTGGTTTCCCTAGGATGGGGCGGGGGGTGCAGTTCAAGACGAGGGGTCATTTTTTTAAGGTGAGAACAGAAAGATTTGAAAAGGACATGAGGGGCAATTTTTTTTTTACACAGAAGGTGGTTCACATGTGGAATGAAGTGCCAGCTGAAGCGGTAGATGCGGGTACAGTTACAATGTTTGAAAGACATTTGGATAAGTACATAAATAGGAACAGCTTGGAGGGATATGGGCCAAGCGCAGGCAGGTGGGAATAGTTTAGTTTGGGATTATGGTTGGACCAAAGGGTCTGTTTTTGCACCGTGTGACTCTAAAAACCAAGTCCTCAACGTTATACCCTCAGACGCTTGTTACAACAATAACAACAGTCGAAGGAAAGCAAGTTACTTCACAGCAGACATCGCCAAAAAAATAAGTGGATCTGCTTGGATGGGGTGAGTCTTGGTTGAGTTTGTTGCAGCTGCTTTCTGAAAAAAAAAGTGTTGATGAACGGAAATGTTTCGAGGCAGCATGGGAGAACCTGGAGCTGGGCTGCTTAGAGGTAGGGGCCTGAAGTTAGTGTGCGAAAGGAGTCACACAGGGGAGGAGGGAGTCCTGTCACGGGCAGCTCGATATGGTCACGTTGATGGCGAGGCTCCCGTTGTCGGCGAAGAGTTGAGCGACGACGGTGTCGAACACCAGGCTATCGGCGGCGGTGGCGGCAGACGGGGAGACGGTGCCGGTCAGGCCGCGGGGACTGGCCTCCCAGGTCAGGCGTCGCCGCTGGCGGCTCAGAACCAGGCGGTAGGAGAACCTCTCGGCTTGCCGGGCCGTGCCCAGGAGCAGCACCAGCAGCAGAAAACAATGCCGGCCCCCGTGCTGCTCGTTCCTCTCCAGCAACACCACAAAGTGCTGGCCCAGGCAGCACTGCAGGGCTGCCCAACCGCCCGGGCCCGGGCCCTGGATGCCACTGGCCAGGAAAACGATGCTGTCCCCCCGCAGAGTGGCCACCGAGCCCAGGTCCGGCAGTGAGGCCTTCAGCGGGCCCCGGCACTCGCTGCAGCGGGGAGCGCCCAGGCACGGCCAGGAGAGCAGGCAGCCTTGGGAGGCGTCCTCCCCGCTCACCGAGAGCCAACCCGCAGCCGCCTGCCTCTGAGGTTGACGGGTCCAGCAACATGGGGAGGGGGAGGGGGAGGGGGAGGGGGAGGGAGAGGTTGGGGTAGAGAGAGAGAGAAGGTTAGTATTCTGTCAATCACAACCCCATCACAAACATAGCTCCCTGCTTGTTCTGGGAGTCAAATACCAAGCATTGGCCGCTCACTGGCACAGCTCGGTTGGCTTTGCCCCACCCCCACAACCCACCCATTTGGTAAGGCCCATGAGGCATTGACTGAAGGGGTTTCACCATCCACAGCATGATCCCATTAACAACCAACCCCACCCC